TAAGCGAAGTAAGGATTGATAATCTTTTAGTTCCCAATCTTGAAGGTTTCTCATCACTGAGACACTCTAAGAGGTAGGAATGACTGAACCGACAATATCATTCACTGTAGCAGCTTTGTTTTTAGTAATCCGGTAGATAAGAGGATATTTATCTTTTAATTTTTTTAAACCGCACCAAAAATCTTCCCAGAAACGGACCTTGAGCCCATTACCAATATTCCATTTTGAGCATTGAAATATTGTATTATTTAGTGTGATGATGTTCTTCCATAAACTGTAACCATAGTTGCTGTTTTTAATATAAGAGAGATTTTGTGGATTGCCATTATATCATTTTGAGTCTATCATCATTTTTCAGAAACTGTTATTTTCATTCTAATATCTCCAAATTCATTTATCAAGATGTGCCTTGTTTAGTTTGACTATTGATCTTAGTCCCAAGCCTCTTTCTTTTAAGGGTTTTTTGATCTCCAACCAATTCACTAAGTGGTATTTCTTACAATTTTCACTATTACCCCAAAGAAAGTTACATTAGATCTGCTCTAGTTTTTTTTTCCACCTTATTTATTATGTTAAGCACCAATAAAAAGTAAATCTGAAGATTGAAGAGTGTGCTTTTAATCAAGATCAATCTACCTCCTTTTGATAGAATTTTTTTCTTTTAGGTAGACAATCTGTTATTGAACAAATCGTTCACAGGTTCTCAGTAATTACTGTCATTGTGCTTGGTGCCAAGAGGAACCCCATGGTAAGTGATAGGTGACTATGTTTGCTTGCAGCCCAAAACCATATTGAAATCTTTATTTCTAGAGCTGTTTCCCAATAAAACCATATCAGATTTTTGGAGATTTATATTTAAACCGGAGACAGCCTACAATAGGCCTTTTAATCAAGTTCAGTGATTTTGCTTTCTCAATAAATTGATTTAGCGCCTCTATCACAATAATGAATAAGAGTGGAGAAAGGAGATCCTCTTGTTGTAGGTCTATAGAGGTATTGAAAAAAGTGGAGGGCCCGCCGCCGTTGACGATCACAACAAAACTAGTAGTAGAAACACATGTTTTTATCCAGATTCTCCATTTGGGTCCAAAACTAAGTTTCAAAAGCATATAATCCAAGAAATTCCAGTTAACGTGATCAAACGCCTTTTTTATGTCAAGTTTACACAAAATTCATTCCTTGTTGTGTCTAATGGCTTCCTCAACTGTTTCATTACTAATTAAAATGACATTAGCAATCTGTCTCCCAAGAATGAATGCGTGTTAACAGTTTTCAATAATGTTTTTTAATACATTTAACGATCTTTTTGCTAGTGTTTTGGATAATGATTTGAAAATACACCCAATGAGACTTATAGGACGGAAATCATTGTAGTTCTTTGGCTGAGCTCTTTTGGGGACCATGACAAAAAAAGTGGAGTTGAGTGATTTTGAGCTCTTTTGGGGATCATGACAAAAAAAGTGGAGTTGAGTGATTTTACAAAGGTGTTGTGGCTGTGGAAATCATTGAATAGCTCTAATATGTCACATTTGATGATATCCCAAAAAGATTGAAGGAACTTGATGTTGAAACCATTCAGACCTGGGGCTTTGTACCCATCACATTCCTTAAGGCAGCCCA